CTCCCAGAGCAGAACCAGAGGGGACGCCGAGCCCTGCCTAGGAACATTCCCCGGCCCCAACGGGGCGGCCCTGACAACCTGAGTCCAGCAGGCTTTCAGAACCACTGAGGAGAGAATCTGCTCGCAGCCCCCACAGAATAACAGGTGTTAGTCTTTCTACTTAAAAATGAGAAAACTAGTCTAACTATATGAAATAACTAGTTTTAAGACACTGGACAACAAATAGTGCAAAACTATGACCCTTGAGAGTATGGAATTAAATGAGACAAATATTATGATGACTTCAGCCTTGCACGCAAGGGCATCTACCAGACCTGGGATAGAGATGAGGACTTTAAAGGGAGGTAGATGCAGCTGTAAGGGGGCTTTTCAAAAAATAAAATAAAATCTGGAAATCTATATGTACGTGTTCTGGAACCTTTGGTCTAAATACTGTCTTTGAGCATACTAAATGAGTAAAACTCTACTGGGTTAAACAAGGAATGATCACCAGGAAAAGAATAATTACCAAGGATAATAGAAGAAAAGAACAAAAAATAAGAGAAAAATCAATAATGCAAAAAAATGGTTCTTTTAAAAGTTTAATAAAATGGATAACATACTAGATAGAATAAGAAAAAGTGATGTCACAAATCGCTAATCTCGAAAGTTAAAGAGGACATCTACAGATATTGCACAAGAAGGAATATGAAAAAGTACTTCATGGCAATGAATTTGAAAAGTTACATGGAATGGACAAGTTTCACGAAAGATACAAACTACCAACACTGGTGCAAGAAAAATAAGCAGAGCCATATCTGAAAACTTTCCCACAAAAATAACATCAGACTAGGTGATGGCACTAATAAATTTTACCAAATGTCTACGGAGCAAATAATACAAACTCACACACTTTTCAGAAAACAGAGGTAGAGGGGATACTTTCCAACTAATCCTGAGGCCAGAATTTCTCTGATAACAAACTAGTCAAAGACAATACAAAAAATCTTTGGTCAATATAGTAGGTCCAAAAATTCTTAATATATTATTTGCAAGTCAGATATAGCAACGTATAAAAAGGGCAATACATCACAACCAAATATGGTTTATCCTAAGAATATAAAGTTGCTTTAACATTTGAAAATCAGTTGATATAACTCATGCCCTTAACAAAAAAGGAAGATCAGATCATTTGTACAAAAAATTCAGAAAAACATGAATTTAATAAAATTCAATTCTCATTCATTATTAAAATTGTAAGGAAACTAGAAATAAAAGGAATTTTCAAACCTGATAAGGTTTTTTACAAAAAAACCTACAGCTATCATCATACCTAATAGCAAAAGACTGAAAACCTTCCTCTACATGAAAGAAAAGTGTGTTCACGGGTATTGGAGAAGAGTTCTTAGTGAGTACTAACAAGCAAGAAAAATAAATACAAGTCTCATTTTTGAAAAGAAAGAAATAAACTCTCATTATGTATAGTCAAGAAGATCATGTATGTAGAATATCCTAAGGGACCTACAAAAAACCCATTAGCACTTAGTAAATGAATTTGCAGTTTGTATTATGCCAAGTTTGTAGGACAATTTATATATAAGAAATCAATTATACTTGCATAATCCAGGAGTGAGCAATTAGAAAACCAAATATAAAAATACTATTTACAGGAATATCTATATTTTTAATTTAATTTAATTTTTCTTTTATTGATTTTAGAGAGAGAAGAAAGGAGAGGGAGAGAGAGATAGAAACACTCATGAGAGAGAACATCGATTGGCCGCCTCCTGCATGCCCCCCACTGGGGATTGGGCCCATAACTTGGGCATATGCCCTGACTGGGATATGAACTGGCGACCTCTTGGTGCATGGGTCGATGCTCAACCACTGATCCACACCAGCTGGACTACAGGAATATCTATAAACGTTAAATATTTAAAGATAAACTTAACAAAATGGAGCAAGAGCTTACATTGAAAATTACAAAACATTGCTGACATACAAAAGTCCTAATGAAATGAAGAGATGAGCCATATTCATGGATTAGAAGATTTTATATTTTTAAGATGTCAATTTTCTCCCAATTGATTTCTAGATTCAATAAAATATCTCTCAAAATCCTAATAGGCTTTTCTTTTTTTCTTTTTTTGGTAGAAATTGACAAGCTTTTACTAATTCTTTTATAAAGATGCAAATAACCTAGAAGAGCCAAAACAATCTTGAAAAAGAACTCCACTTAATCCTTGATTTGTAGATTTTAAAGTTATAGTGATTTTCTCCAAACATAACTTTTCACAAATCCTTCCTTCTCTGTGTATGCTTGTTGCTCTTTCCATCAAGTGGTGGAGTTTATTTCCTTTCCTCTCAAATGTAGGCTGGCCCTGTCTTTTGATTTGTTTTGACCAACAGAATACACCAGAAGTGCCACTGTGTCCTCCGGGCCTAGCTCTTGGGAGGCTTACAAACTTCCATTTTCACTCTCTTGGAACACTGAGCCATCATGTCAATAGGTCTGATTAATCTGCTAGAGATAATGGTCACATGAACAGAAGCTCTACTGGATGTGAGAGGTGGGAGGGAGAGGGTGGAAAGGAGAGAGAGAGAGAGAGAGAGAGAGAGGGAGAGGGAGAGAGAGAGGCCCACGAAGCCTCTAGCCATCCCAGACAGGCCTCCCTCCAGACACATGAGGGAAGCCAGCTTAAATTTTTCAGACCTCATCATATGCATCAGTCAACACCATGTGGAGACATGAACACATCTTGGCCAAGTCCTACCCAAACTGCAGAATCATGAATAAATAACTGGTTGTTATTGTTTACAACAAAGTTCTGAGGTTACTAGTTATGCAAGTGTAATGAATGACTGAGCAAATGAATGACACCCTCCTTTTTCACCAAGTGTGCTGGCAACAGGACCTCATTGTGTCTGACACTAGAACAGTCCCTCTGCAAGTCTCTTCTACAGCTTATCTAGGAACAGGTAGCTTCTGTAATTATTCTTCAGAAATTAAGAAATAAGGAAATTTTTATGCAACATGAGATTACCAAGTAATTTAAAAGGATGTTCTCATTAAATTTCTGATTATAAAAGTAGTAGATGCCTATTCAAATTATAAGATAAAAAAGGGAGAAATCATTCATTCTGCCACAAAATCAATGTCTATCTTCTCTTACAATGTCTTCACTCTGTTTATGCAGTGATGTATTTCATACAAAAAATGAATACATAATTGGGATGACATTTTGTATAAAGATTGCACCATATTTCACTTTCAATCTGTAGTTATCAGGAACCTGATTTAAATTAATTGTTTTCAGGGGCTATATCTTCTTATAGGTACCTTAACATCTATAAAATATTCTTCTTCTCTCCCATATTAGCAACATCAATTATAAGAACTAAGTCATAAATGTCTATAACAATAATTTTAATAAATAAATATGCTTTACTATAATATCATCTGCTTATATTTAAGCTATATATAAACATTTGTCTTGAAGTTTGTTCTCTGACCTGAGTTTTATTATTATTTAACTTCTTTCAATTATTGTTTACATTCAATATTATTTTGTATTACTTTCAGGTGTTCAGTATCGTGGTTACACAATCGTATACTTTACAAAGTGTTTCCTCTGATATTTCCAGGCCCCACCTTGCACGCTGACCCTAGTTTTAAATTTATTTTTTTTTACCTCCATATTTAATTTTTTTCTCTTGGAGATAACTTATGAATCTTTATAAACTGCCTATAATACCTTTGTAAATAGGTCGAATTTAATTAATTAATTGATTCTGCTTTATTTTTCTATTTATTATTTCCATTTATTGTTACATAAATTAGCATTTTCCAAAATTTTAATAACTGTAGATTATTTCGCTATACCATATGGTACTGTTGGAGATGAGAAATTGGTGTTCATTCTTTACTATTATAAAAATTATAATAAGCTACTTAGCACTTAAGTTTTTTCCCATATAGCTAATTTTTTTCTAGGACTGGATTTCCTGCGTAACGGGTCTTAAATATATTACCGAATTTCTTTACAAGAACTATAATAATTTGCACTCTCACCATCAAGGTGCCTATTTCAGTATATCTTGCCAGTACTGAGTATCAAGACTATTCTTATCCACAAAGTCCAATACTGACAAATTCTCCTAAAGAAATAATCCCCAAATGGAAAATACTTATGTGTACATATACCCTCACTGCCTTATTTATAATAGTGAAAAAGTCACAACAAAAATGTTCAACAGTATTGAAATGGTTATGAATATATATGTGTAGAGCGAAGTTTAAGACAGTAAAAAGTATGCTTATCGTAGTTGCCAATGACAAAATATTAAGTTAAAATATATTGAAATAAAGGGCATTTTAAATTACTAATATGGAAAAAAATCTCTGCTACACAATGTTAAATTAAAAATACTAGGATAAGTATTTTTTCTACTAAATTAAAAAAAGGAGGCAATTCACAAAATATTAACAGTGTTTAACTCTTAACTCACTGTACACTTCCTTCTCTGGAACTTCCATTATTTGCTGAATTTCACCATGCTATACTTCTTATTTCTTTGTAAACTTATTCTAGATTAAGGTGGAGGTATATATTTAAAATATAATGCCTTTGTTATTATTATAATAAATAGTTATTTTAAATGACATTGCCAATATCCTAATCTTATCAATATTTCCAATATCCCTTAGCTGAAAGAATTTTTTAAAAAATCAAACGAGAAGATTTCTATTTTAAAAGTTCACTTTTCTGATGTTAAATACAATTTTAATTTAGAACCAAAGAAAAAGAATCAATAAAAATGTTTTAAGGGGGTAATAAAGCATAGAAAAGACACCAAATCTTTGACTCTGCAACTTAATAAAAACAATCCCAATTCGTATGACCATGTAATTCATCATCTAAATTGTGACAACATCAATTACAACATCTCAGCTCACTGTATCCTTTCAGTTCGGACTGAATTTCTCAGTGAAGGATGGTTAATAAAATCTTAAAACCTACCTGTCAAATGATGGCTTCTCTCCACAGTCGAAGGCATCCTGGAGTTCCTTAACAAGGTTGGCCTGGCCTGGCAGTCGGAAGAGGCCCTCTTCCTTCAGCCCCCGTTGTCGGATGAAGTCCACGCACTGCTCCACCAGCATCGGGGCCAGACGGTTCCCATATCTCTTCTCATAACGGACAGTCTCTTCCAATTTCTGTCCAAAAATGCCTGATGAAATAAAAAAAAAAAATCACAATAAATTTGAGAAATGCATCACTTCCCACTTTGTTGCTTTCTTTGAAAACTTAATGTATAGGAAAAAACAAAGATTGGAATGGCAGCCAGCATTTAACATTTGGTGTCTCACATAATGACAGAATCAAATTCAAGAAAAGTACGTGTTGTGTGTTCAAATTATGTTAGACCCTATGATGTGTGGGGAATTATTTAAAAACCTTTAGGTTAAGGATTTGACAATAAGAACATATGCTTTACCTTCTTATCTGTAAAATAATTTATGTATATCTTCACTAATGTAAAGCCATCAAATTTCAAGCAATAAACACTTACTACCAAAAAGAATATTCTTAGCTCTAGTAGAAACAGTAACACAACAAACCAAACTAATTTATACCTGGTATCAAATCTGGCTCTAGTGGAATGCATATATTTCTTTTTTGAAGAACGAGAGAGAGAGAGAAACATCCATGTGACAGAGAAACATCACTGGGCTGCCTCCTGCACGACCCCTACTGGGGATTGAGCCCACAACCCCAACATGTGCCCTGACCAGGAATTGAACAGGGACCTCTCAGTCCATGGGATGACGCTCAATCTACTGAGTCACACCGGGCCAGGTTTCTTCTATTTCTTTTAGAAAAAATGGTTGAATGACATAATACTAATATTTGATTGCATATAAAGCAGAATTAGAAAATGACATTCTCAAAGGGCAGCTCAAGTTAAAGCAGGTAACAAGTCTACGTCACTTAGTCTGTAGTCTTTGGAATAAGCAGCTTCTTGATAACGATGTGCAGAACACTGTTCACTAACTTGACAGACATCCACACCGCTCTTTTCTCTTCGGGTCCACTTTGGAAGTTGGACAATTAAATACTCCTCTCACTTTCCAAGAAATCTGCTAGCACATCTAGGAAGACTTGAGTTTTTTTTTTAATGAAACAGAAAAAACACCTAAAATTGTCAATCATTCCTTTTCCTACCTTCAACTTGGACATGCTGTCTGTCCATCTTTTAACCATTAGGTGACAACCACAAAAGAAAAGGTGAAAAATTTAGAAATCAGGCTGAAATCACTGAACCATTAACCCAATACCAACAGCACCTTCTTCCAGATTTTTTAAAATGTGTGTTAAAGCTACTATTTTTTTTTTTAATCCTCACCCGAGGACATTTTTCCTTCTTTTTTTTTTTTTGTTCAGATAGAGCGAGAGGGAGAGAGAGGAAGAGAGAGAGAGAGAAACATCGATGTGAAGGGACACATCGAGTGGCTGCCACCCGCACAACCAACCAGGGCCGGGGACAAACTGCAACCAAGGTACGTGCCCTTAGCGGAAACCGAACCCGGGTCTCTCTGTACCACAGGCCGACGCTCCAACCGCTGAGCCAAACCGGCCAGGGCAAAGCTACTATTGTAATAAAATAAAATAATCAATCTTTCTGACTCCATCTTGCTCAGACCTACCCAGTTTCCACAAGATGTCAGTTAGCAACTTCGGCTTAGTACCGCACATAGATATGCTCATCATTAAAGGAATCAAACCTGTAGCCTAGGAATTACTGAAACAACCTCCCTGCACAAAATTACCTCTCAAGGTGATAGTTTTTATTGTTTATCAAAAGATTTATAAGGAACATCGTGACTCAGTCTATGGCAACCAGAATTTCTTAACCAAAAGCAAAAAAGTTTCACCATTCCCCTTAGACCCTTGCTGACATCCAGATAGCTGCAGTCATCAACCACCTCCTGACCTAAACCCCACCCATTCCCCCTTCCTTTGATATAAACGAAGCCTGACACATAGATACAGAGAACAGACTGACAGCTGTTGGGGGCAAGTATATTAGGGGCTAGGTGAAACAGGGAAAGGAATTAAGCAAAAAAAAAACCAAAACGAACAAACGAACGAACGAAAAAACCTCATATAGACCCTGGAAAGTTAGCTCAGTTGGTTAGAGTGTCATCCTGCTATGTCAAGTTTGCAGGTTCAATCCCTGGTCAGGGCACATACGAAAAACAACCAGTGAACACGTAAATAAATGGTACAACAAAGCAGTGTTTCTCTTTCTCTCTCTCTCTCTAAAATAAAAATAAATGAATAATAAAATCAATAAGTAAATTTAAAAATAACCTCATAGCCCAGCTGGTGTGGCTCAGTGAATGAGCTTCGACCCACACACCAAGAGGTCACCGGTCCGATTCCCAGTCAGGGCACATGCCTGAATCGTGGGCCGGATCCCCAGTGGGGACATGGGGGAGGCGCCAAATGATGTTCTCTCTCATCAATGTTTCTCTCTCTCTCTCTCTCCTCCTTCTCTCTGTCTCTAAAATCAATGAAGAAAACATATTAAAAGTAAAATTAAATTAAAACAACCTCACAGACACAGCCATCGGTAGGGTGGTTGTCTGAGGGAGCAGGGGTAGGAGCAGGTGGGGGAGGAGGGGGAATGCATGGTGACAGAAGGAGACAGACTATGGATGTGGAGCCCACAGTACAATACACAGACGATGTGTTGTAGAGTTGTACATTTGAAACCAATTTAATTGACCAATGTAACCCCAATAAATTCAATAAAAATATATATTTTTAAATGTCTTTAAAAAACTTTGGCTATTCCTCTCTCTCTTTTTTAAAGTCACTCCTCATTTTCCAGTGATTTAAAATATTATTAAATTCTAAAGGTGAGTGAATTAGCATGTCTTTTTTGAGCTCTAAAGTGATGATAGCTAAACCGTACCTATGTATACCACGCAGTTTAGCTGCATGTCTTTCATTTTAAACTCACAGCACTCGGGAGGTAGGCACCACCATTAATTACACCATTGTCTTGAGGAGGAGACTCGTGCACAGCAAGACTGAGTGATTCGCAGCGTCACACAGCCGTTCAGAGTCCGCCTGTGTGTGTAACAGCGTCGATAACAGCACCACGCCCTGTGCACAATGGCCAACATCTGCGCTGTAGCGGAAGCAGCCTGCAGCTCACCCGCCTTCCTACCTCAAGTCCCGCCGTCATCCTAGGACGGGTGATCTCTGCTGAGAAGATGTGAACTTACGGGAAGGTCAGAAATGAAGGACACGACGAAAAACTCTGAACATTTAGTGAGCATGCTGCCCAAGGGAACTCTTTTTTAATAAAATGTAAAGAGCTATGCCGACTTAGCAATATAATATGTAAGAGTTACAGTATGCAGACCGTAGTTACATATACTTAAAAATCCCTGTGGAAAAATCACAGTTTCTCCCTAGATCTAGTCTTGTTAAAATGATAATAGATGTATATACTCCCATCCTCGCATTCTGCAGCACTGGAAATGGAATGTCCCAAATGTCCCTGGCTTGCAATGAGAGGTGACAGCTAACCTCCCGTATGACAATTTTTTATAAGAAAAGTGAGGAAGGAAATTATTTTTTAAAAGCTATTTTATTTAGGATTTTCTTTGAGGGAGCAGTGAAACTTTAAATTTTAAAATTAACAAAAAAGAATAAAGGTGATGAACTATTCCCAATTAGCAGCATGGGGGAAAAGATGCATTGATTAATAGATTATTAACAAGACGATTCTCCGTTATGTGAATCTGCAAACAGTCCCAGCTATGTCCATTAAATTCCCAGTGAGGTTTCAGATTCCCTGATAAAATCCTGCCAGATTTTCTGGGGGACGATGGTATGTTGGGCATACCTCCAGTAAAAGTACTTTGTTGGTGTCATAAAGCATCACACGGATGTGACTTTTCATTGGACCAAGAAAGTAAATCAGACAGGTGCATTTTTTATATCTGTGTGAGGTTGTTTCAACTAAAGAGAAAGAGAGAGAGAGAGAGGAGAGAGAAATCTAAGCAACTTTCAGAGTTTTCGAAGCTCCTCCTTTACTGCAATTTAGACACCAAATAGCAAGAGGCAGCCAGTGAAGTTAGTGAATGTAATCAGATAAATATATTCAAATTCTATTCATCCTAAAAATGAATAAGCAGATACAAAGCCAAACAAACATTCTTGGTCTGTGTGCCTGGTGTTTTTCCATTTGCTCCTAGTACCCCAGTTAGTATCATCCGGCTTTACTTCACCCCTTTCTATCTTCTTGCCTACCTCCTGAAATTTGGTCTAAGACACCACCATTCTGCTAAAAGAGCCTTTTCTATCGTCACTAACAACTTCCTAGTGGCCAGGTCATTGACAGCCAAATTGACTTTTAAATATTTGATGCCTCACGTCCCTTAAAACTACCAATCTCACTCTTCTTCCTGACACTTCTCACAAGACATAATTCTTGCCTTCCAGAATACCCTTCCCAGTCTCCTCTGCTTGACTGCTTCCTACTGCCCCTTCTCGAAAGTTTGCTGGTTCTCTGCGTTATGTCCTTGGGCCTGTTTCCAGCTCCCTTGTCACATCGCCTTTGCTGGACTCCACCGACTTTCCCTGCACTTCAATTATTCCCAGATTTGTGTCTCAGTTTGGGCCACACTGTAGTTTCTAGCGTTAAACTTCTAAGTGCCCATTAGAACCCTCAACATGAATATCTCAAGCTCAAAGTTTCTAAAACTGGCTAACTCATCTTTTCTTCAAAACCTGTTCTACTTCCTATAATTCTGATTTTAGTTATCAGTGCGTTACCCACCCCCAATCATGGAAGTTCCATCTGAGAGTCAACCTAGGTTCCTCCTTCCTTCACTACCCTCATTTATTCACCATGTCGGTCCTTTCCAAACTCTTTACTAGTACAATAGGCTAGACCCTCAGTATTTCCTAAATGACTTTTTGAAGAGTCCCCAATCCAGGTTAAGTACTGCCATAGTGATCTTCATAATATTTGAATCGGATCATGCCGCTCTTTTGCTTCATTTCTTCCCATGGTGTCCACTGGCCAGCCAAACTCCTTTGCATGAAATGTGACCTGTGTGACCTGTGTCTTTCCCACCATTCAACCCATAATATTTAAGTAGCACCCACTGTGTGCCAGGCACTGGCCATATCCACCCTCATTTCAGA